ACAACGTATGTTGTTATGCGGTTTGACCGATAAAGATCTTCGTAGAATATGTAGGATCCAATATGAACATCCAGGTTCCACTATTGGTTATTGACCGGAGACGTGTCTCGGTCATGTCTACATAGTTCTCGAACCCATAGGGTCCGCACGCTTAACGTTCGGTGACAATCGGTATTATGAGTTTATGTGATTTGATGTACCGAAGGTAGTTCGGAGTCCTGGATGAGACCGGGGACATGACGAGGAGTCCCAAAATGGTCGAGATGTAAAGATCGATATATTGAACGACTATATTCGGATATCGGAAAGGTTCCGAATGATTCGGGTATTTTTTTGGAGTATCGGGGAGTAACGAGAATACAGGAAAGAAGTATTGGGCCTCATGGGCCAAGTGGTGGAAGAGAGGAGGCAGGGCGCGCAGCCCCCTAGCCCAAACCGAATTGGACTAGGGGGCCGGGCCCCCTTTCCTTCTTTCCTCCCTCTCCTTCCTTCTCCCCTTTCCCATTTCCTTTCCTCCTGCTAGTAGGAGTAGGAAAGGGCAGTCCTACTCCTACTAGGAGGAGGACTCCTCTTGGCGCGCCCTAGGAGGGCCGGACGGCCTCCCCCTTGCTCCTTTATATAGGGGGGCAGGGGGCACCCTAGAACACACAAGTTGATCATTGATCCCTTAGTCGTGTGCGGTGCCCCCCTCCACCATAATCCACCTCGATCATATCGTAGCGGTGCTTAGGCGGAGCCCTGCGTCGATAGCAACATCATCACCGTCATCACGCCGTCGTGCTGACGGAACTCTCCCGTTAAGCTCTGCTGGATGGGAGTTCGTGGGACGTCATCGAGCTGAACGTGTGCTGAACTCAAAGGTGTCGTGCGTTCGGTACTTGGATCGGTCGGATTGTGAAGACATTCGACTACATCAACCGCGTTATCATAACGCTTCCGCTTACGGTCTACGAGGGTACGTGGACGATACTCTTCCCTCTCATTGCTATGCATCACCATGATCTTGCGTGTGCGTAGGAAATTTTATGAAATTACTACGTTCCCCAACATCAGCCGCGGTGCCGCTTTGACTGCCGAGGGGTGGGGTGTTGAGTATATGTGTTATGTGCATATTGTGTATTGGGCCCGCCTCCTAGTTCCTTGTATAGTTGAGGTCCGTGGCCCACTTTCTTACATCATATATATGTGCCTATGCACGAAGAGCAATACATCCCACAACATACAGTTTGGATTCAGAGTTGCCAAGGCGAAGGAACGTCACCCCATAACTGGTTCCGTCACCGACCACCGTCGGGACTCCGGGGGAGCGGAGGCTAGGCGAAGCTACGCCACTTGAGGAGAGAGGAGGGTGGCTGGGGATGGTGGGTCTGGGAGAGTCCGAAATCATTAGTTGAGGAGTACTCGTTGCAAAGATCACTCCAACTTCTCAGGTTGCGATACGCGCGCCACTTGTCGCAACGTGAAAGTTTTCCCCTTTTCATAAATCCATTTATTCAAAATATTTTATCTCTTAAACCATGCGTCCAAATCTCGAACCGCTTTCACGGTTGAATTCCTCGCGTCAAGATCTTCAAAACTAGATCCCATGTCGATAGGTTTTGATGATTTTTTCCACGAAAAAACATGAATTGGGAGCGTGATTTTTTTCCTTTCCAAAAGAGGCATGCCCGTGCCTCTCATGAAATCACAACCGTGCCTCTCGCGGAAGAAAAAACAAAAAGAAAAAATACGTTTTTTTTTTCATTTCCGAGGAGGCATAGCCATGACTCTTGCGAAAGCACAACCGTGCCTCTCACGGAAGCAAAACTGTGACTCTTGTGAAAGAAAAAAAACAGAAAACACATTTTTTTTCGTTTACGAGAGACACGGTTGTGACACGGAAGCAAAAAACCGTGACTCTCGCGAAAGAAAAAAAACAGAAAACACGTTTTTTTCTTTTCCAAGAGGCATGGCCGTGCCTCTCGCTAAAGCACAACCGTGCCTCTCGCATAAGTAAAACCTGACTCGCAAAAGGGAAAAAGAATAACAGAAAATATATTTTTTTTCCGTTTCCGAGAGGCACGGTCGTGACTCTCGCTAAATCATAACCGTGTCTTTCGCGTAAGCAAAACCGCGACTCTCACAAAAAGAAAAAAAATATAAAACATGTTTGTTTCCGTTTCCGAGAGGCACGGCTACGACTCTGGCGAAATCACACATGTGCCTCTCGCGGAAGCAAAATCGTGACTCTCGCGAAAGGAAAAAAAACAGAGAACGCGTTTCTTTTTCGTTTTCCAGAGGCACGACTGTGACTCTCACGCAAGCAAAACCGTGACTCTCGCGTAAGAAAAAAACACGTTATTTCACGTAAACAATTTTTTTTAGAATTTTTTTTATTGAAAAGCTATGGAAGAACGGTGGAAACCAAAAAAGCTAAAAAAAATTGTTTAATAAGTCAAAACGCGTGTAAAAAATAAAAAAACAAAATTCAAAGAAAGCGCCCAGAGCACGACACGTGACGAATGGCTGAGAGCACATCAAGTGGCGCTGATTGTTGCGAGGCTTCCAAAGGAGCGCTCTTTAAGTAGTTCCTCTTGGAAGAGTCGGATGCGAGGAGACGCGGACGGGGGAAGGAATCTTCGATTAGGCCCCATTGAGTCTTGAGCAACCCACATCTAAGCCCACATTTTGTTTTCAAAAATTGTGTTTTCAAAAAACCCAATCAGGCTGCTGGTTGATGTGGGCAACGCACATCTAAGCCGACAAAAAAGGTATCCGCGGCTTGCCTAAAAAAATAATGATATCGTGTACGTGGGTTGCCTTAAAAAATGTGATATACGCGGGAATACACTATTTACCGCATAATGCGTTAATAGTCGGAGCTTCGGACAGGGCGCCCGCGACTAGGCCCGCCCATTTTATTTTTCTTTCCAGTTTCTATTTTTTTCATTCCCCCTTTCTTTCCTGTTTATTTTATTATCAATTTTATTTTTCTCGGCTTTTTTTTTCATAAACTCCAAATTTCAATAAATTCTCAGAATTTCGAAGTTTCATCAAAAAAATTAAAGGTTCAAAATTTCAAAATGTTGTTCTCATATTAAAAAGTTTTAAACTTTAAATTGTTGCACTTGTTCCGAAATTTGTTCAAATTTCAAAAATGTTCCCATTTTTTCAAAAAATGTTCATGTATTAAAACTTGTTTGATATTTTAAAAATGTTTGTGTTTTCAAAAAATGTTCAAGATTCAAAAAGTAATATTTTTAAGAATTTTTCACAAATTGGAAAAATGTTTGAGTTTTAAAAAAATGTTCATCTTTTCTACAATTGTTCTGAAAGTTCAAAACATATTCTCAATTTCAATAATTCTCAAATTCAAAAAATGTTCTAGTTTTCATCAAAAGTTCACATTTTCAAAAAAATTCCCTTTTATAAAAAAATTATGTTTCCAAAAATTGTTTGGATGTTTCCAAAATTGTACACATTTAAGAAAAAACTTTTTATAATTTAAAAATTTGTTGACAGATCCAAAAAAATTAAGCCCATGGTGGAATGGTCGGTTCCTAGGTTTGGATGGGTGAGGTTGCTGGCGAAAGCCGTACTTCGGTTGTGGCATGAGTCGTCTTCGGTGGTGCTTAAATGCGTCGTTCCCTCATTGGAGGCGTCGATGTAGCAGTTCTTATCGTCCTTCCTATTATGCTCCGGAGTAAACCCTAGATATGGTCTGCTTGATCGGACAATGGCAGCATTGGTAGCTATGCTCAGTGTTGTGTTCCCTCTTGGGGGCATCGTCTTGGAGGTGGATCCGTTTGGTGGGAATTGTTGCTCGTGGAAGTTGGCAGTGGCCACGTGGGGCTGAAGATGATGCATTCATCGATGACAGGGAGCATGAGTACTATTCACATATGAGAAGGGTCATATAAGCCAATTGGTCGCTTCTCATGGGATCAGAGCAACATATGTCCACCTCCTTTTGGCATGTCTTTCCTCTTTGGTGTCGACGAGGTTGGCAAATTTGCTCATGGAAGATTAGGCCAGCAATGGTTTTGGTGTGCACTTTGGTAGCGGCGAAGACGACACTCGAGTACCCGGCTACGTGTCCTGTGGTGTTTGGCCTTTCAGGCGTCTTGCTATTTTTTAGTGCTTTAGACCTAGTCAAACTAGGTGTGGCTCGCCTTTATTCAGGTTTTCATTTGGTTTTCCTTCAATAAACCGAGCAGTCTCTTTTTTCCCTTTTTCCCTTTTGCACTAACATTTATGTTGTGCTTTTTTTCCTTTGATACCCTTTCTAATCAATGAATTTGACAATGCTCCCATCAACAGTAAAAGAACATGACCCTCACACAACACCGTAAAAAATGACCACATCGAGGTCTCCAGCAATAGTTGACATAGTGCATATCAGCTGCTATCGCACCTTTAGATGCTACCGGGGTTCTGGAGCATTGTATCGTGCATCAAATGGCCGGCATTGGCCAGTGCAAGTTTTGTAGAAAACCTCTCAACATTCCTAAAATGATGTTTTGATTCACGTCCGATGATGTTGTTCGTTGGATCACAGATTTAACAGCCTTGGTGCCCCTATATCACAGTAGCATCTAAGGAGTGGTAGCGCCAGTATATTTTCCCACAATTGACATAATAAAAGGGTATATCCAAGTCTTGAGAAATGCTTTTTTCTGTACTATCTCCCAAACTCAATACTACTAACATAAGACGTTTTTTGACATCAGCATATTTTTTGAATTTTCACTGGCATATTAAACTCTAAGAATGCCTTATAAAAAGTTAACAGAGGTAGTACGTCTAAGTCGCTGCCGAAAGGTGCAACTGCGTAGTGAGAAGTGTATATGACGCTTTTTCACTCCGTTGAAAAGTGCAAGTTGCATTTTCTTCTCTGAACTAGACTTCAAAGAAGCAATCACTCGCGTGAGCATTAGTAAAATGGATTTTCTTTTGTTTTATTATGTTGAACGGAGATGCTCAAATCTGAAATCATCGATCGGACGACATTTTAACTTGTGTCAGAGCTTGCTCCTACTTTTGTTGCTCTTCGTTGGCCAGGCAGGGGTCATCCACTGCCTCCCTATCGCCACCAGCTCGCCGGATCCCATCTTCCGCACCCGCACCACGGCGGCCGTGAGCTTCCCTTTCCGGCCCACCACCCGCCCGTCCAACTGAACCTCCTCCTGCACACGATCGATTCGCCATGTTTCAATTTGCTCGCCGGCCGCCGCAGCAGCTTGCCATCAATCATCATCATGTATTATTATCATAGGAAATGGACATACGTTGCACGCGACGGGCGAGAAGTAGGACAGGCCGTAGTGGACGGTGGACGTGGGCGCGCCCACCACCGTGAAGACCACCGCCGAGCACATGTTGTCCGCCGCCGCCGCCAGCGCCCCCGCGTGCCACGTCCCGTCAGAGTCCTGCACGCAAGCGCAACGCGGGAACAGACAAAGACACGCCGCGGTGAGATCTCCGACCCGGCCACGGCGGCACAGGCGCTTGAGTGGGAGAACCCAATATGTGCGAGGGGGCTGGGCGCACGTACGGTGAGCGGCGGCGGCACGTGGAACGAGCACACGACGCGGCCGTGCTCGGAGAGGGAGATGCGTGCGCCGGCCAGCACCAGCGAGTTGAGCGCGTGCCCCTTTTGGCTGGCCGCGTCGGTGATTTTGCCGGCGTAGTCCGCGCGCGGGTCCTCCAGCCACTTCCTGGCGACGGCGGCCAGACGGAGCCGCAGCGCTTCGGCCTCCGCCGCCCCGTCGTCCATGTGTGTGTGTGTGTGTGTGTGTGTGTGTGTGTGTGTGTTGCGTGTGCTTGATTTGTGACCTTGGACGCTTCCTTGCTCCTCCACAGCTATAGCCTTGTTGTACCCGTAGGAGCACGATATAAGATCAGCTCGACTTAATTAACCCCATGACAGTGACTAGCAATAATGCACGATGTAGGCATATTCTGAAACTCAAGTCAACCAACGAAATGCCCAACGCAGCTTCCTTCAAATCCCTTTGGACTGGAGGTGATCTCCACTCCTCAAACAAGAGCTCTTTTATGGTACCTATACTGCTACGGAAAAAGGAGCAGTATATATCTAATCTTACCGTTCAATTCTTGAGGGTATTTTAGACCTCTGATTTTTCACATTAAAAGAAAACCAAACTCTTATTAGTTTGTATCTGAAATCTGTCATGGCTGTCGACTGTCGAGAGAAAACGCCGCCGACTCAATCCAGACGCGCCGTCTCCCATATTGCACGCCCCGGCCATCTAACTCCCCCTCACTGCCGCCGTGCTAGTTCACTCCATCCATATCTAGCTGTCTGCATGCTCCTCTTGTAGCCTCACAAATCCGTAACCTTCCAACAGGCCTCGAACGTCCGCCGCCTTGTTATGGATTAGAAGTTCAGTTATCCATACTTGGCTGCATCGTAGAAACCGAGTGATGTCAAAAACTTTCTTCCAAAGGGCTAGCTGCCGCTGCTAGGAAATAACAAACCCATCACTGAAATTGCCAACAGCCTGAACCAAGTAGTGCAGCTTAAAACCTGAATTTGCATTGGATATGGCCAACTCTCTACAAAGGTGAACACTAAATTATCCGTCAGCGCTTGTCACCTGTGGGATGAGGGTACCTCACATCCGGCCTGCCGAAGAACAGAAGCTGCGCCATTCTGCCCTCACATCCGGTGTAGGCAGGAGACGTCGGGTGCCGACTACCGAGACCTGCGCCATGCCGCCGAGCGCCTGATCCACGAGCACAGGCTGGCCGAGGAAGGGACGAGAGATCGGCTCGCCGAGGGAGAATGCGTGGGGCGCCTCAATCTGACGAGCTGAAACTTAAAAATCTTCCCGAGTTGCCCTCAAATCACATATACCGCTTACGTTGATCGAGCAGTGCAGTCTTTATACTGTTAAACCAATTCCAGCAGTATATATCTCTTTGGGCCGTTGGATCTTCCAGAATGGAGGGCCCGTATTCATTACCCGGTACCGTAAAAGAGCTCCTCAAATAAGCATTTAACATTGTCAGTTAATCAATGAATTTGGACAGATAGTGTTCTCATCGTTGCTGTATCATAGCTTGCTCCCTTGATATCCCTTTGGTCTGGAGGTGGTCATCCACTGCCGGCCGATCGCCACCAGCGCGCCGGACTCCTTCTTCCGGACCTCCGTGGTCACCGCCGTCATCCTCCCTTTCCGGTCGACCACCCTCCCGTCCATCTCCACTTCCTCCTGAAAACATTTCAGCAGAACTTATTTTACTTCAGCCTTGGTCTTGATGAAACTTGCACGCGAGGATGCAAAATGCAGCTGAAATCGTACGGCTTCAGACAATGTGACTTGACGACTTAATACTGTGCAATGAAATGGAAAGCGTCTGAAATGGCGTATGCTGATCGGAAATTAGTGATTTGTCTGGGCAAAGATAAGAATGTGCTCTTAAAGCTCAGTGTGCTGAGGCCGAAAATGGCAGAGCCATAACCGCTACCCTTTAATGTGTAGCCTTGGCGCCTCTTGCCTTATAACTACTCCAAGAAGAAATGGTTGAAGAGTTTTGCTTTGATACTCCAACTTTATTTACTCTACAAAGCACACGTTCAGAAGGAATAATCAACCAAATTCTTTGAGCTCAGAAAGCAGCTTTCCAGGAAAGATCAAGCTCACCTAATTGGACTATCCTTTATAATCTGTCTACCGAACAAAGCACGCCGAATCGCCGCCTCAGTAGTGTCAAGGCATTAATTTACCTCTGCATATTTTACTCATGGTGGTGTTTGGTGATGGTGCTCCATTCGGAATCAAGTCGGGTTTTTCTCTTATTTCTTATTTTGCGTGGTTTTTGCGGGTTCTCATATAAACCAAGCCACTCTGCATTCTTGTTCTTTTTCTTATTTTACTGAACTCGACACAGCTTTTGCCTTGCAAATCGTTTTTTTCTTCCCTTTTTTCTTGTTTCATGTGCTATATGCCCCAGATTCTCATAAACCGAGGCACTATACTTGTGCTTTTTCCTATCTTATTGAAATGTGCGCAGCTCTTGCCTTGCAAGTCAATTTTTTTCTTTTTTCTTTTGACTTGAGGTCGTCAAAATATGGAAGTACGCATAAAGACTCCACACAGTCCAAGTGTTTTTTAGTCCTTTACCAACCAAGATTATCCTATATATTTATTTTGTATATACTCATGCGAGAAATACAACATGAAATTCAGTATTCGCGGCTGCAGAACATCAATTTTTTTTAACCAGCAACTGATCAACCAACACAACGATTGCAACTGATCAAGCAACACAACGATTGCAAGAAGCAAACAGTGAGATTAATTTCCATTTCACCCAGTAAACGAGTTTATGCTGGCATTTGGAGGAGGAACAGAGCAGAGCAGAGCAGAGAGTATAGTAGGTAGGGTACGCACATGGTGCTTGGCCGGCGCGAAGTAGGAGATGTCGTAGTGGACGGAGACCTTGATGATGCCCTCCACCGACATGATCGCCGCCGCGCACACGTCGTCCACCGCCGCCGCGATAGCCCCCGCGTGCCAGTTCCCGTCCGCGTCCTGCACGCGCGCGCGCCCAAACCAAGGACAAATTGGAATCGGAAACCAATCACGGGAAGAAGCCAACCTCGCGGAGCGCCAGGGCTCGAGATAATCTGCGGGCGCACACGTACCGTGAGGCGGGCGGGCACGCGGAGCGAGCAGACGGCGCGGCCGCGCTCGGCAAGGGACACGCGCACGCCGAACAGCGGCAGCGCGTTAAAAGCCCTGCGGCCGTCGCCGGCGCCGTCCTCCGCGATGGCGCCGGCGTCCTCGAGCCACTTGCGGGCCGCGGCGGCCATCCACGCGGGCGGCGCCGGGTCGCCCATGCACGCGCCGTGCGGGCGCGGGGTGCCTCAGCGGCGTGCGCGGTGGACGGGGATCGAGTTTGACGCGATGACCGGGCAGACCTACTCCTACTCTTCTTTTCCTACTCTACTTGACAGGGGTGTGTCTGCTTCCTTTTCGTCTCCTCTAACTTGCTTAAAGTGAGAAGCCAGGGTGTGAGCGCATGCTCATCAGTTCAACGCTTCAAACGATCGTCTCCTGTGTGGCTGTGGCTGTGTGTCTTGGGACCACGGAGGCACGGCGGCTCCTTGTCCGCGAGAGGTCTCCGTTTTTAAATATTTTTTGTTAATTTTTATAGGGTTTATGTCCTGTTTAAAGATGCGAGGCGACGACGGCTTTTTTAGATAAAATAAGATCCTTCTCGTCTAGCCCCGTTTCGGTGGTGTTTCTAATTCTCAGAGGACGTGTGAAGATTTGTCTCGAGCGGATCTCATGGGATTCGGTTGGTGTTTGTTTTCGGTGGATCCACGTGGATCCAGTCTTCGTTCGTCTGTGTTCGTGTGTCTACAGGTTGGATCCTTCCGATCTATGCTTCTCTTTATCGGCGACGGTTTCTGTTTTGGTGCGCTGTTTTTATGAGACCTTAGCACGACGACTTTCCAACTATCTACTACAATAATGTTTGCCCGGCTTCAATGAGAAAGATGCGATGAAAGCAGGGCACCTTCGGCTCGCTCCAGTTCTTGTAGTCGTCGATAGGTGGTCTACGAATTTGGATCTACTTTTTTACTTCTAGTGATTTTTTACTAGCTTAACAATTGATAAATAGATCAAAAGTTTTTCACGAAAAAAGGAAAACAAATAAAAATGAACCATTCTAAATGTACATTTCAGTCTCTTTGAGGGGAAAAGAGGTTCCAGCGACTCCGATGGGGTTTATTAGGCTGCTCATATTTTGAACGAAAGTATGACCATATATTAACATAAAATAAAATATGAGTTTTATGCAATAATAATGGTATCACTAAAAATAAATTTTAGATACAAATCCAACAATATAATTTCATGGCATATCGCTTTTATTTTACAAATCAAGTTTGCGGTCAAAGTTTAACTTAAAATACAAGGAATCTAAGGGCATCTCTAAAGCGGACCCTCAAATCGCTCACAAACATTCGACCACACTGTATGAACGCAGTTTGTCATTAAATTTCATCTCGTATCGGTCCGCAGATCAGTCTGTTTCCCGCAAACTAAGGTGGAGGGGGGCTTTGCGGGAGTCCGGACCACCGCCACGTAGGATTTCGACACCCCCGGGCCACCCAAAACCACACCCGGACCACGCGTCTCCATCTCTTCCCTCTATCTCTTCATCCACTTCATCCCTTGTCAACACTACCACTCTACCATCCCATTCGCCCGCCAAGTCCTTCTCGCATCTCCGCGACCTCCGCCGCTCCACCCGGTCGGCACGCCGCTTTGCCTACGCCGGCGGTCCACACCTCCTGTTTGTCTGTCGGGCATCTACTGTACCAACTGCCTCGGCGAGGTTCACAATGCCCGACAAGTGTTTGGTAAAATGCACATGCTAATATGTTTGCCCTTCTTTGAAATAATGGATTCAGACATGGAGTACATGGCGAGGGCGCTTTCCGTGCGGCAGGCTCGGGCGACCTCGCCCCAGCCACGAGTCAAGAAGATCCTCCCGGAGGAGACGGCTTCAACCTCCGCTCCAGTCGCCGGGGCATCGCAGTCGGCGTGCTGCAACCATAGCTCGAGGGGGCCTCTCGGCGGCATCTCGGCGGCGAAGAACTGCGGGAAGCGAATCCAAGTGTGCGGAGGCATCGCCGCCCACAGCACGAATTCACGCGAGGAGTCCACGGCATGGACCCCTGGGGCAACGACGTGTGTTACTGCGGCGCGGCGACCAGGGCCCTAGTGCGGGCGG